CAGGAATGTGTGATGCAGCGACAAAAAAGGCTAATGAGATCTTGGGTATAGCAACAGAGGCATAACATCCAAATCACAAAACTTATTTATTTTTCGCATGTATATCCCGCCCATCCCGTAAACGGGCTCAGGGCAGGTGACAGCCTTTCATGTCATAGACCCGCTGTACACTGCATTGGTCAGGCTGCACCTGGAGTATTGTGTGCTTTCCTGGAGGCCTCACTTCAAAAAGGATGTGGACAGAACGGAGCGGGTGCAGAGGAGAGCGACAAGCGTGATCGGGGGCCTGGAGGAGAGGCTGAGGGACTTGGGAACAGTCTGGAGAAGAGGAGGTTTTTGATGGAGGACATGATTGCTCTCTCTAAGTTGTTGAAGGGCAGGGAGCTGTTCCAGTTGGCAGCAGAGGAGAGGACTCACAATAATAAAGGGCAGGAAGGTACCAACTGGATATTAGGAAAAACCTTTTTACAGTAAGAGTACTTCAGCAGTGGAATGGGCTGCCTGGGGAGTTGGTGGTGAGCTCCCCCTCCCTGGCCCGTCCTTAAGCAGCGGCTGGACAAACCCTTGCCAGGGATGCTCTCGCCTGATCCTGCACTGAGCAGGGGGCTGGACTCGATGGCCTGTAGGCCCCCTTCCAATTCTGTGATTAAGCTCAGAGCCAACAATGCAGACAGAACCACCAAAGGCCTTACATACTGCTCGGTGCTCCAGCTCAGGTCACAAGCACCAAAGGAAAGACTCCACTCTCACCCTGGGCAAGCAAACAAAAGGGGGGGGCGAGTGTTCTCCTTTGCTGGGGCTCAGCCTCTTGCCAGCTTGCTTGTCAGCAGGATCCAAACCCAAGGCCCTAGCGCAACACACGGGTGCCTTTCCCCAGTGCGCTAGCCGGGAGCAAACAGGAGGGGGGCCAGGGTGTCTTCCCTTGTTCTTGGGCCTGCTAAAGACCAGTGGTGTCATTCTGTGGCTTACCGAGCACCATTTTTGCCGTTACCGTTAACCAAAAAGCCAATTTACTTCCATCCCTGGTATGAGGTCTGAACCTCAGGGGGGCTCACAGCTTATGTGTTCCTTGGCAGGGGCTGTTTCAAAGTGGGAACCACCGGCCAACCACAAGCCCCACTGGACAAGGGCCTTGCCCACTTCCCGGAAACATGGGCCAGGTGCCACACTGAGGAACAGCCCCCAGAAGAGCCGGAGGCGGCATGCCAGAGAGTCACCGAGTGGGGATCACGGCCACAGAGCCTGGCAATCACTCTGCTCTCGGCAGCCGCTTGGGAACAGACTTCCTCTCTGCCCAGGGGGCACCGGTTACTGACCGCTAGTGCATTCATGGCACAGCAGGGTCTGATGAGCAGTCTGCCCAGCGCTCACATTTTTACATTTCAGAAATATGCCAAACAGAACAATTTTGTATGCTAACCAAGTGACAGATGATGCATTTTATGTTAAAGCAGTAAAAGAAGAAGAAGAAGAGATTGGATTTCTACCCTGCCCTTCACTACCCAAAGGTGTCTCAGAGCAGCCTACAAACTCCTTTCCCTTCCCCTCCCCACAACAGACACCCTGTCAGATAGGTGGGGCTGAGAGAGCTCTTGACAGAAACTGCTCTTTTTCAAGAACAGCTGTGCCAGAGCTTGTGACTGACCCAAGGTCACATAATAAGGTTAGGCTTGAGAAAATCTATTGCACATATTCAGATTTCCCCCAATATTGCCATGGCTTCAAAGTTTCCACAAATTTTACAGGCCCAGACATTGTTGTGTACCCAGCTGACCTCTATACCTGTTCTCCAAGGGGCTGCCCATGAAAACCACTGAGAAACTTCCACTGGTACAGAACAGCAATGCCAAGGTGTAAAGGGTGGATGGTATAATCATTATAAACAACTACAGTGGCGAGCCCGTGCTCCAAACACCACGGTGCCTAAATGCCAGACCGGAATCAATAAGAAACACAGCCTTTTAATGGCTGCCCTATAGACTCCCCTTCACTGCCCCCCTTTTGCAACCGGATTGGAACATACCCAATGAGTTTTCCTGTTTGTATTATGCATATTCTAGTATTTGTTGCATAGAGATTTGGAGTTGGATCCAACCAAGTTTTCTGCTGACCACCAAAAAAGGCTATGGTGGGGATCACGGGACACGTGAGTAGGGAGGCGACTTATGGAAGACGGAGTGAACAGGCTGGCTGGATCCGCCCCACTGACCTCGTGGGGAGCGGCTTTGCATGTCCTCTGCTTGAAGAACAATATTCATAAGTGGTATAACATTCCATGCATAAATGCAAACAAATCTTAAGCCAGTGCTGGAAGAAACAAGATTCAGTGCAACGACGTCAGGAATTCACTGCAGACCTTGGAAGCCCTGAGGGGCAATGCCAGGGTCTAAAGGGCGGATATAATCATTATAAACAGCGGCAAAGGAAGCATGCTGGAAGACGGGGAACCTGCTGGCTGGAGCTGCTGCTGCCACCACCACAGACAAGTGACCCCGACCCGGTCCCTCCAATGTGCTTCAGCAGCCCGAACTGGCAAGCTGACTCTGCAACAGGGAGCATTAATGCCTGCAAGGAATTCCAAAGAAGAAATACTTACCTCTTAAAAACTGAGTCTGCTTATCCTGAGAGTCATTCCTTAAAGCAGACGTAATGACACTTATCTCCCGCCACACTACTGGCTGATCTGGGAAATTTACAAATCTGAAATGAAGATTTGGGAATGGGTCAGATCAGAGCAACTTTAGTCCAAAGACAGTCACCAGATCTCCAAAGAAGCTGGGCCTGCCTGGAGATGCCTTCACGGGCGGTCTCTCATTTCTCCCCATCCACTCTTCCTGCTCCTGTCCTCCACTTCCCCTGGCAGCTTCTGTTCCCGACTCTCCTCCTCCAACACTTGCTCATTTCCCCATCGTCCCCTGGGGCCTGAACGAAAGGGAGAAGCCTCCTCACTGGCACTCACACACAGCAGAGCCAGCCACAGAAGGGCTGCGTTTACAAGGCTAAGCCAGGCTTGGGTCGCCCATTGTGGGTGTCGAGGCCCCTCCCATCTTTCAGTCTATCCACTTTCCTTCCTTTCTCCTCTGCTCGCTCTCTGAATCTCGTCCTCAGGCACCGCCTCTCCCTCGCTGACCCTCGTCTTTCTGCGCCTGCTGACACGGGCACTTTGTCACCTGAAAAGCGGTCCCCTCCAGCTCCTGTCCCTCAACGGAAGGGGCTCTCCCTTCTCAAACCCACCTCACCCCGAGGGGCCACTGGGGCTACGCGGGTCTTCCTTTCCATGTTCTGTCAGCTGCAACAGCCGCTCACCCGACACCCATTCTGGGCAATGCTCCACCCCCCCCAAGCCCACACTCACCCCACGCTTCTGGCCTCGGGGCCTTCCTTGGTCACGGCCAGCTGCCTCTTTCAGGGTCGATGGTTTTATGCTGTGGTTGGGGGGTTAATTTATCACTTTTCCTGGTTTTTTCTGATGATGTTTTATTTTATAAGCCACCTCAGGCCGGTTCCCCAGAGAGGCAGCACAAGTATTTTCCAAATAAAATAAACTGCTCCTCGTGGGTGCTCCTTCACACACACCCTCCTCCCCTTTTCCAGTCTGTGGCAGGTGGGCGGCCCTTCAGGCAGACTTGGGCCTGCCCATGATCTCCTTTGCGGCAGAGCATGGCCTTCTTTCCAGCAGGATTAGGGCTAGCCGGGCCCCTGCCGTCATTCGCAGTCCATGGATTTAGCGCCACCCGCCTCAGGCTCCAGTTTCTGGCTCTGTTCACCCGCTTGCCCTCCCGCCCCAAGGGAGCATTCGGCACTCTCGCCTCCAGCCCCCGCTGCCTTCCCTGCCTCTGGGCCTGCTCTCGTGTGGCTGATGCAACACCCCTGGAGGGGAACGAAGCTGGGGGCTGGCTTTGCCCAGTACAAATCCATCCTCTCCTCCTCCTCACCTCCCTCCTGCCTGGCTGAACAAACCTATGGCACTCCCCATTCCACAACAAAAGCAGCCTTCAGCACTGCATTTCTGCCCTTGAGCGTACCCTTTTTCTTTTCTTTCAGCTCTTCCTTTCCAAAACCTCTTTCAGTTCTTTCCTGTTTCCTCCCAGCTCACTGGATGATCAACCACCCTGCTGGCTCCCAAATCCTGGCTGCCATCTCCTCTGCCATTCTCCATCTTCCTGACAATATCAGCCTCTCCTCTGGCTCTTTCTTACTGCACTGACGCACAACAAACCCCAAAGCCATCCTTTTGAAACAAATGCCCCTAATCTCCCTTTGCTTCCTAACACCTGGAACTAGCACTTATTCCTGTGGTCTCAATTTCATCTCCTCCTCCTCTTTCAGCCCCTTATGGATCCGGCTGCCGCCCTCTTTAGTCCATCGCCAAAGTCACTGACAACCTCCTCATGATCAACTCTGACCTCCTCCCCGAATCCAGCAGGTCACCCCGTCGTGCTCAACTCCCTGCTCAGCTTCAGGTTTCTGTTTCTCGGCACTCAGCTGGTTCCCTTCCCACCTAGATGCTTCTGCCATCGTGACAGAAGAAAACTCTTCCTTTCGTTTCCTCTGTTGCTGGAAACCCCAGAGAGCCCTCTTTGGCCTGCCACTCTGCTTCTTCTTGACGCTCTCCCGGGAGAAACTCATGGAACCCGGCAGCCTTCAGAAGCATCTGTATTTTCCTGTCTGACCGGGAACCTTGCTAATCAATTTTAATGGGCAACCTTGATTTCTAGAAAGTCAGGGGGGGGGATGCTACTGGGCTTGAGTCTATCCTCAGCCACCTTTTCTTTTCATAAGCTGCCTTGTGAGGTTTTGGTTGCTTCTCTTTACCATCATGGCTTACGAGCAGAGGAATCTGGCTTGGTTTTCCAACAGGATTTTAGTCCCTGGTTGGTTTTCCTAAATCTAACATTTAAAGGTATATCTTACACGTCATACAGCAGTCGGCCTGCCGAGGATGTCCGTTCTGCGTTCCTCTCAATCGTGTACATCTCATACTGAGAAACAGAAGAACAGCTTATGAGTCACAGGGGGGGGACACACCTCTCTCTCCCCCCCACCCCCCACCAAAGCCCTCCCTCCCTCCCTCCCCCCCCATCGCTACTGCAAAGGGAACTTGCAGGGGAGGGGGCGGCAGAGACCAGGGACAGAAGAGGTGAGTGAAAGGAAAGAGAGAGGCTCCGCACTGACGCCAGGCAAAGTCAGTCGGCCGGGTAGAGGCTCCGCGCGGTGATGAGCCAGGCCTTGGCCGCCCAGAGGTCCTCCTGGACCAGCTCCCGGGCCCGCTTCACCAAGAACTCGCAGTCCCCCTGCGCCGACATCCCGCCCGCCGGCCGGCCGGAGCCCCGCGCATGCGTCGAGAGGAGGACCCGTTCCTCTCGGGGAGGCGCGGGGCGGCTCTCGCGCGAGGCCGGACCTTGGCGTCCCGGAAGCGCCGCCGAGTCGGCCATCTTGGTTGAGGGCACTTGGCCGGCTCCGCTAAGGCGGGCGGAGGGGCGGAGCCGACCAGCGAGACGCGCTTCCTAGATCGGCCGGCGCCCCCACCACGGCCGCCCGGTCAATCCGCCTGGCAGCCGGGAGGGCTCAGTGGCTGGCTCGTGGAGGAGGAGGAGGAGGAGGAGGAGGAGGAGGGGGTTTCGCGTCCAGCCACCCCCCCATACATCTGGGGGGGGGGTGGCCCAGCACGCGCTCTGGCGCGAGGGCCGCGGCCAGATTCAGTCCCGCTTAGGGGTGCC